GCCGTTGCCGATGCCTGGGGCGTCGCGCCTGGTCGCAGTCAGTCGACCATCCCCATCGCCCTCCCCATCATCTCCTCCCCCTGCTCCTCGCCCTCCCCTTCGCCCTACCCATCCTCTCCTTCCCCTGCTCCTTCGCTTTCCCTTCCCCTTTCCCTTCCATTTCCCGCCGACCTTCTGGTTCCACGTCTCTTCGTCCTACTTCTTATCGTTGCCATGCTCCTGCTGCTGCTTCGGATCCTTCTGCTTGCCATTCTAGTTCTCCTTCGCCTCCCCCTCGTCCTTCTCGCAGAGCCCGGGCTCTGGCCTCGCATCGGGGGCGTCCACGAGATGGGCGAGGACCAGGGGCAGTATGTTCGACTAGACGTAAGAGTGACCTTTCGCCGCAGTGACCTTTTGTGCGGGCCCAATGGGGTCCCCCGATCGCCGAACGCGAGGCGGCAGTGGCGTCTTGCGCGCTTGTGTTTGGCCTCCCCCGCGGACCCCCCAAAGCCGCGCACCAAAGGTCACTCTTACCCAGGGTCACTCTTGCGTGTAGTCGATATGTGGACATCGTGGCCAGGGGGGGCCGTCTCCTTTCCCCAGCGCACCTGCCGCCCCCCCCGTCCGCGCACGTGCCTCGGGCCACGATGCGCTCACCCGCCGCCTCCTCCTTCTCCTCCTCCTCCTCCTCCTCCTCTCCTCCTCGATCTCCTCCTCCTCCTCCTCCCTCCTCCTCCTCCTCCTCCTCCTCCTCCTCCTTCCTCCTCCTCCTCCTCCTCCTCCTTCTCCTCCTCCTCTCTCTCCCTCTCTCCTCTCTCCTCTCTCCTCTCTCCTCCTCCTCCTCCTCCTCCTCCTCCTCCTCCTCCTCCTCCTCCTCCTCCTCCTCCTACTCCTACCTCCTCCCTCTCCTCTCCTCTCTCTCCTCTCCTCTCCTCTCCTCTCCTCTCCTCTCCTCTCCTCTCCTCTCCTCTCCTCCCCTCCTCTCCTCTCCTCTCCTCTCCCTCCTCCCTCCTCTCCTCTCCTCTCCTCTCCTCTCCTCTCCTCTCCTCTCCTCTCCTCTCCTCTCCTCTCCTCTCCTCTCCTCTCCTCTCCTCTCCTCTCCTCTCCTCTCCTCTCCTCTCCTCTCCTCTCCTCTCCTCTCCTCTCCTCTCCTCTCTCTCCTCTCCTCTCCTCTCCTCTCCTCTCCTCTCCTCTCCTCTCTCTCCTCTCCTCTCCTCTCCTCTCCTCCTCTCCTCTCCTCTCCTCTCCTCTCTCTCTCTCCTCCTCTCTCCTCCTCCTCCTCTCCTCCTCCTCCTCCTCCTCCTCCTCCTCCTCCTCCTCCTCCTCCTCCTCCTCCTCCTCCTCCTCCTCCTCCTCCTCCTCCTCCTCCTCCTCTCTCCTCCTCCTTCCCTTCTGGCTGCCGGACGGCAGAGGAGGGGGCGGAAATGGTGGGGCCACGGAATCTGCTATGTGCAGCTGCCTTCGGCGCCGCCGCCCGGCACCCCTTCCTTCGACGCAGCTGCGCCTCCGGCGCCGGCCCTGGACCCTCCCTTGCAGGGTTCACTCCGACCCGCTTCTCGGGGCGGAGCCAGCCGTGGCCGTGGCAGCGAGAAGCGTCGACGGGTGCCCTCGGCTGTGCTGTCCTCCCCGTCGCCGCGCAGCCCACTTGGCCCGTCTCGCTCCGACCCGCTGCTCGAGGCGGAGCCAGCCGTGGCCGTGGCAGCGAGAGGCTTCGACGGGTGCCCTCGGCTTTGCTGCCCTCCCCGTCGCCGCGCCGCCCACGTGGCCCGGCGCACTCTGCCCCGCTGCTCGAGGCGGAGCCAGCCGTGGGCGCGGCGACGGGAGGCTTCGACGGGTGCCCTCGGCTGTGCTGCCCTCCCCGTCGCCGCGCCGCCCACTTGGCGAAGGGCCCGGCTGCTATGGCCCATCGTTCAAGCAGTGGCGAAGCGTCCCGGCTCGCCTATAGCCCCACCAAGCAGTATTTGGTTCCCGCGAAGTGTTCTCAGAACATCTCTGGCTGGGACTGTTTTGTTTTAACACATCGGGTTTATGTTCTAAGAGCATTTTTGGGTTCTAAGAACATTTCGTGGTATGACTACAGGAATGCCGGGACGGTCGGTCCCTGCTCAAATCGTTTCGTGCAGCGAGTCGCCCGTGCGCCGGCCTGCCATTGCATCTCAGTCCTTGACCCTTCCCCCCAGACAGGAGACCACCTGCGAACCCCTGCTCTCACCACCCCACGAGTTCCTGAGGGGAGAGGGGAGGCCCACTCCGCTCGGGGCCTCCAGAGCGAAGTGAGCCCCACCTCTTCCTCAGAGAAGTGGTGGGGGGTGTTGGGGGGTAGGGCTCGGAGCCTCCCCAGCGAAAGGAACCCCACCTCCCCCTTTAGAAGTCGTGGGGTGGTGGGGTACAGTGCCGTTTTTAATACATGCTCCGCGTGCAGACCATGTATTAAAACTGCAGGGATTTAGTATTAAAAGCAGCGATGGGCTTATTCGTAAACTTATCCATAAATTGATCATGCTTTAAAATCCGATATGTTTAAACATCCCATGTGTTAAAGAAAACTGCCCTGTAGGGTTCGCTTGGGGTCTCCTACCAGCGTGCGCGGGCTCGGCCCCTCGCCCGGCCCCCGCCCCGCGGGTCCAGCTGCGGCGCGAGCTCGGGGGCGGAGTCCCCGCCGCGCGCCCCCTCTCCCGGCAGTCCGCCGTGCTGCGCGGCGGCGGGGAGACGGGGGAGCTCGAAGCACAGAGAACGACATGAGCATAGGTTCTCGGAGGTGTAGCCCCCATGAGGGGAAGCGGATTCAACACAACCGGGCAGATGTTTCATTCTTCAGCCATATGTTTTGGCCGGGCTGTATCGGAGCAAGGGCTGAAGTCGGTGGGTGTTTGCGGTGGAAAAAATAGGTTCTCGGAGGTCCGCGCGGATTCTTAGATCGGCGCTGCCTTCCCCAGGGGGGCCCGCCAGGAGCGGCGCCAGAGGCGCCGCCAGGGGGCCCCGGCGCTGACCCAGGGGGCCTCCGCGCGGAGCTCCGGGAAATTGTGTTGTTGGTGCCTCTGAGAGCGAGGAGCGCACCGACGACGACGAACGCGCAGGCGGGAGGCCAGGGCCAGCGGGACGAAGCAGGCGGACTCGGCCACGCGTAATTCAGAGCGTGAATTACCTACCCCGCTTTCGCTTCCAGGCAAAACCAAGCCATACCACGCGCCTCCTCGTCAAGCGGCCTGACCAGTACAGGCTGCAATTTGGCATCGTTTTCTTGGAAGCCAGGGTGGTCAGAAGCGAGGTAGGTTTGTTTCTTCGCTAGTAATGAAGGGTGACCTTTCGCTGGAGTGACTTCTGGCGCGGGGCCCACAGGGGTCTCACCAGCAAGGGCTGGCGCGCTCGGGCTGCTTGGATTTGGCCTGCCCCGCGGCCCCCCTGAAGCCGCGCACCGCGGGGACGGGGCCAGGACGAGGATAAATCCTTTCCAGAGCGTTCGGGAACGCTCCCAGTTTCCGGAACGCTCTGAGGAGGCCGCCGCGCCCGAGACATCCTCCAGAGCCGCCAGATCTCAGATATTCTCGATTTATCCCCACCCCGTGTTATCCTCGTCCTGGCCTCGTCTTAACCAAAGGTCACCCCTTGCCCAGGGTGACTCTTGCGCGCAGCTGGTTTCGTCCGACCCGATGTTCGTCGCACTCGATCGCGACACGTGCCGTGGTGCCCGCGGCAATGCGCAGCGGGCGCCTCGGCGGCCAGCGGCTACGGGAGCCGCGGCAGGCCGCTCGCCCTCCCAGGCGGGCCCGTCACGCGAAACGCAGCGGCCTCTGGAGTCAAATTGGCTCGAGTCAAAACAGCCTCTCTCCTCCTCCTCCTCCTCCTCCTCCTCCTCCTCCTCCTCCCCCTTTTTCTCCTCCCTCTTCCTCCTCCTCCTCCTCCTCCTCCTCCTCCTTCTCCTCCTCCTCCTCCTCCTCCTGATCGAAACGCAAAGACCTCTTGAACCGAATTGGCTCGAGCTAAAACAGCCTCGCTCCACTTCCTCCTGAATGAAACGCAGCGGCACCTCGAGCCAAATTTGGCTCGAGCCAAAGGGGCCTGGAGGAAGAGGAGGAGGAGGAAGAGGAGGAGGAGGAGGAGGAGGAGGAGGAGGAGGAGGAGGAGAAGGAGGATGAGGAAAAGGAGGAGGAGGAGGAGCAACAGCAACAGCAGCAGCAGCAGCAGCAGCAGCAGCAGCAGCAGCAGCAGCAGCAGCAGCTAGTGGAGGAGGAGGAGGAGGAGGAGGACGACGACGACCAAGGACGAGTAGCGTGACGAGAAGCAGGAGGACGAGGGGACTGGGCGCAGGAGGAGGGAAAGCACCATGAGGTGGAGGGGGTCGTGACAGAGGCGAGGGCGGGATCCCGACAGGAGTGGGAGTGCCTGGTCGACTACTACACGAGCGGCGAGCTCGTTCCCATCAGGACCAGAGCAGGGGGAGGGAGGATGAGGAGGAGGAGGAGGATGAGGCGGAGGAGGAGGAGGAGGAGGAAACGGAGGAGGAGGAGGCGGAGGAAGAAGAAGAGGAGGAGGAAAAGGAGGAGGAGGAGGAGGAGGAGGAGGAAGATGAGGTGGGAAAAGAGGAAGGAGGAGAAGGAAGAGGAGGAGGAGGAGGAGGAAGAGGAGGAGGAGGAGGAGGAGGAGGAGGAGGAGGAGGAGGAGGAGGAGAAGGAGAAGGAGAAGAGGAGGAGGAGGAGGAGGAGGAAGATGAGGAGGACCAGGAGCAAGAACAGGAACAGGAGCAGGAGGAGAGGGGAGCAGGAGGGGGGAGGGTGGTGGAGGGGAGGAAGAGGGGAGGAGTGGAGAAGGGAGGGACGGTGACGATGGTGTCGGTACCGATATCGATGACGATGCCATTGGCGGTGCTGATTATGATGATGCTGATTATGATAAGGCTAATAATGATTAGACAGCTGATATTGATGATGCTGATGGCGATACTGATGCTGCTGATGATGATGGTGATGCTGATGACAATGCTGTTGATGCTGATCTTGGGTGATGATGACGCTGATGATTATGTTGACGATTACGTATGTGGGCACTGATGATGCTGCTGATGGTGATGATGATTTTGATGCTGGCGCTTTTGATGCTGCTGATGATGATGCTGCTGATGATTGTGGCGATTCTGATGACGATGATGATGCTGACGCTGACGGTGACGCTGATGCTGATGACGATGCTGATGATGATACCGATGATGATGCTGATGATGCAGATGATGTTTATGCTGATGCTGCTCATGATGCTGCTGATTATGATGATTGTGATGCTGCTGTTGATGATGCTGATGACGATGACGCTGACATGATGATGCGGTTGTTGATGGTGTTGATGATGAGTATGATGATGTTGATGAAGCTGATGACGATGGTGCTGCTTTCGATGATGATGTTGGTACTGATGCTGATGCTGATGGTGCTGATGATGATGCTGCTGATGACGATAGTGAAGATGCGGATTTTGATGTTGATTACGTTGATGGTGCTGATGATGACGGTGGTGTTGAGTATGTCGCTGGTGCTGATGATTCTGACGATGCTGATGCTGCTGCTGCTGATGTTACTGATGCTACAAGTCCTGCTCACGATAACGATGACGGCGATCACAATGACGATGGCGACGCCGATCACTTTGACGATGATGTTGGCGATGATGATGGTGGTGGCGATAATGTTGATGATAGTAATGGCACTGACGATGGTGCTGATGCTTACGTTGATGATGATAACGGGTATGATGACGATTATGATGACACTGGCGATGATGCTGTCAGTGATGGTGACATTGATGTTGGCTATGCCATTTCTGCTGGCAGTATTGATGCAACTCATGATGCCGATGCCTATAAAGTTGATGATGTTGCTGGTTATGGTGATCCTTATGATGATTCTTGTTATGATGATGGTGACGACGTTGATGTTGATGGTGATGATGATGGCGACGACGATGAGGATGCTGAGGATAATGAGGATGATGATGTTGATGACGGTCGTGATGACTATGCTGATATTGGGTTTTGTTGACGCTGATAGTGATGATGTTTTTGCTGACTATGGTCAACATTCTGATGCTACCGACATTAAGTGCCATGGTGTTGGCGGTGTTGAAACTGATTTTGACTCTTTGATGAGATGACGACTCTAGCGAATCTAATGGTGATGCTGGTGATAAAGGTGGCCACCCGATTCACGACACCCCTGGTGCCTTTTGACTAGGAGGAAATTCGGGATGGCTGGTAATTTCTGTGTTAGTGATATGTGGATTATTGTCATGTGGATTTGAGATGATGGGGCTGTGACGATTAGTTAAGATGGTGCTAATCAGGATGACAAGGATCGTGATCAAGATGAACATACATGGATGAGTTTGAGTGAGGTGGCGACAGTGAATGAAGACGATGATGATGCTGATGATGATGATGATGATGATGATGATGATGATGATGATGATGCTGATGCTGATGCTGATGCTGATGCTGATGATGATGATGATGATGATGGTGGTGGTGGTGATGATGAGGATGACGCCGACGATAAGGATCATGATGCTGATGGTTAGGAGGACGATGAGAAAGCGGCGGATGAAAAGGAATGATGGGAGAGGAGGAGGAGGGGGGTTGATGAGGAGGAGGGCCAGGGTCGGGGCGAGTGGGGGTCCAGGGCCAGGGGGACTGAAGCTCGGACCAGGGGCCAGAGGTCCGGGTTCGAACCACGAAAGTACACGGTCCGGGGCGAGGAGGGCTGGGGCGAAGGCCAGGGTCGGGGCGAGTGGGGCCAAGACCAGGAAACAAAGCTGAGTTCAGCCAGGGCCAGAGGGCTGGGGCTTGGACCAGAGGCCAGAGGTCCGGGTTGGGGCGAGGGGTCGAGGGGGGGCGGGCCACAGCCAGGGGGACGGGGGCGAGGGGAAGCGGGCCACAGCCAGGGGGACGACGACAAAACGCCAGAGCCAAGGAGGGAGGCTGGGTTCAGGGCCAGGGCAGGAGGACGGGGGCGAGGGGGCCAGGGGAAGCAGGCCAGAGCCAGGGGGACGACGACGAACCACGAAAATAAAGGGTCTGGGGCGAGGGGGGCTGGGGCCAGGGCCAGGGGGCGCCAGAGCCAATGAGGGAGGCTGGGTTCATGGCCAAGGCAAGAAGACTGGGGCTCGGACCATGAGCCAGAGGTCCGGGTTGGGGCGCGGAGGCCAGGGGATGGGGGGCAGGGAGACAACGACGAGCCAGGGGGACGACGACGAACCACGAAAGTAAACAGGTCCGAGCTCTAGAACACAACTGCGCAAGATTATAAAGGGTCCAGGGCGAGGGGGACGGGCCAGGGCCGGGGGGGGGGAGGCTGGGTCCAGGGCCCGGGCCAGCGGGGCAAGGGGGCTGGGGCCAGGACCAGGGGGGAGGTTGGGTCCAGGGCCAAGACCAGAGGGACGACGACGAGCGAAAATATAGGGCACGGGGCGAGGGGGACTGGGGCCAGGGCCGGGGGGGTGGGGGGGCTGGGTCCAGGGCCAGGGCCAGCGGGGCGAGGGGGGCTGGGGCTCGGACCAGGGGGGGAGGTTAGGTCCAGGGCCGGGACCAGATGGACGAGGACGAGCGAAAATAAAGGGTCCAGGGCGATGGGGGTGGGGGCCAGGGCCGAGGGGGGGAGGCTGGGTCCAGGGTCAGGGCCAGCGGGGCGAGGGGAGCTGGGGCCAGGACCAGGGGGGGAGGTTGGGTCCAGTGCCAGGACCAGAGGGACGACGACTAACGAAAATAAAGAGTCCAGGGCGAGGGGGACTGGGGCAAGGGCGGGGGGGGGAAGGCTGGGTCCAGGGCCCGGGCCAGCGGGGCGAGGGGGGCTGGGGCCAGGACCAGGGGGGCAGGTTGGGTCCAGGGCCAGCACCAGACCAGAGGGACGACGACGAACGAACATAGAGAGGTCCGAGCTCTAGAACATAACTGTGCAAGGTAATACAACAGATTGGTCACGTTGAGGGTCCCCGCGTCTAGCCAAGCCAGCCAAACATCTATTTCGCCAAGGATGGCTGCCAGCAGCGATGTGTCCCTGATGTTTAGAGTTTCGCTCGTAGCAACGATGATCTGTGCACCTCTGGCTCAGATGTCCAACATTGCTGCCATTTGAGAACGCCGTGCGCTCCAAGAGAATGAACACAACAAGGTCATCATGACAGGATCACCCTGCAGGATTATGGCCAAGTGCTCTGAATTGCGTGTTCATGAACTTTTTCTTTTTTTGCGCGCACAGAGGTGGATGGCAATGTGACCTGTGACGCTCTCAAACATTGGCCACGCTGCCAGTTCTGCCTCCCTCTATCTTCAGGCGCGGCAGGGCATTGCCACTATGTTTGTTGGCTCCGCCTTCGTTCGAGTAGCCTGTGACAAGTCACACGCGAGCCAATGTGGAGACAGTTGGGCAGCTCAATCACACACGTCCTGTAACTAGCAATAGTTCGATCCAGCGTCTTGCTCTGTTCGGGGCTCGGGTTCCTGTTGGCCAGTGCTTCAAGCTTCGCGTAGTGGTCGTGCAAAGGTCAGTCAGATCATTCCCAGTAGTGCAGGACTCTAGCTGTGGGTCCCCCTACAGCCTGCTCGGAATGAAAAGGAGGCGGCGGAGGAGAAGGAGGCGGATAAATAGGATGACTATGGATAATCTGATGATGATGATGATGATGATGATGATGATGATGATGATGATGATGATGATGATGATGATGATGATGACGCTGATGCTAATGCTCTTGCTGAAGCTGATGGTGATGACTATAATGATGACGATGATGCTGATGCTGCTGATGATGATGCTGCTGATGATGATGATGACACTGATGATGGTGATTATGGTGATGGTGTTGGTGATCGTGTTGATGATGCTGCTGATTACGATGATGGCGATGCTGATGACGATGCTGCTGAGTATGCTGATGGTGACCATGATGATGGTGGTGGTGATGCTGCTGCTGATGATGATGCTGATGACGATGATGCTGATGGTGGTGGTGATGGCGATGATGATGAAGGTGCTGATGCTGATTATGAGTATGTCGATGCTGATGCTGATGCTGATGCTGATGATGCTGATGACGGTGATGCTGATGGTGGTGGTGATGGCGATGCTGATGATGCCGATGATGCTGCTGCTGCTGACTATGCTGATGGTGATGATGGCGATGAGGAGGAGGAGGAGGAGGAGGAGGAGGAGGAGGAGGAGGAGGAGGAAGAGAAGGAAGAGAAGGAGGACGAAGATGCTGAATGGAGGTCGTCGTGGGCGAGTCGGTCGGTTGGGAGGGCGAGACACGCCGTTGTCGCTGTCGCCGCCACTGTCGTCGTCGTCGTCGTCGTCGTCGTCGTGGGCGCGTCGGTCGGTCGGGCGGGACACGTCTTCGTCGCCGTCGTGGGCAAGTCAGTCAGTCGGGCGGGTGGGACACATCGTCGTCGCCGTCGCCGTCGCTGTCGTCATCGTTGTGGGTGCGTCGGTCGGTCGGGCGGGTGGGACACGTCGTCGTCGTCGAGGGGGTGTCAGTCGGCCAGGTGGGCGGGAAGCGTCGTCGTCGTCGTCGTCGTCGTAAGCGCGTCGTCGTTCGGTCGGGCGGGCGGGGCACGTCTCTGTCGTGAGCGAGTCGGTAGGTCGGGCGGGCGGGACGTCGTCGTCGCCGTCGCCGTTGCATTCGTCGTCGTCGTCCTCCTCGTCCTCGTCGTCTTTTGCCGGGGCCAGGTCGGGGTGCCCCTGGCCCAAGGTGGCCCCGGCTTTTCTCTTCTTTTTGGAGCCCCTGGGCCCCCCTGGGCCTCGTGAGGGGTGCTCGACGTCCGCTTTTAACGTCAAGCAGAGATTCTCTGATGGGGGGGGGTCCCCAGCTGACTCTCTCTCTCTCTCCCTTTCACTCTCTCTCTCTCTCTCGCTCTTTTGTTATTGTATTGTTGTTGTTGTTGTTGTTGTTGTTGTTGTTGTTGTTGTTGGTGGTGGTGGTGGTGGTGGTGGTGGTGGTGGTGGTGTTGCTGTTGCTGTTGCTGTTGTTGTTGTTGTTGTTGTTGTTGTTGTTGTTGTTGTTGTTGTTGTTGTTGTTGTTGAACATTATTTATTCTAAAGAATAATTATTGTTGGGCCCCCTGGTGCGCGCCCCCCCTGCGCCGCCTAGGCCGCAGCTACAATTTCATCATTTTCGTGAGGAAGCCTCAGAAAAGAGGGTGTGTACAGGATCCGGTTGTTTTGTTGTAATCCGCCTTCCCTTGCAAAAAACAATAGAAAATTACATTTCTTGTTCTAATATAATCAAATTTCAAGAATCCCTTGCAAAAAATAAGGTAAAGTGGACATTCGCGCGCGCAAGACGAAATCCTTCCAAAACCTTAGTGTTCGCAGCGATTTAACATAAAAACATCAAAAAAAAAAACCAATGGTTTTTCAACAAAAAATTGTCAAAATCTCATCCCGCGCGCTCTTGCGGATTCGTAGGAAACCCAACACTTATTAAACATTTCTGTCAAACGGGCTTTTGCGAGCAACTTTTTCGAACTTCTGCGACAACGGTTGCGCACCTGCCAGGGCCATCATCCCTGTCAAAAAATACAGCTGACACCTCTTGTGAGTACTGTACAAGTGTATCATGATGTATCAAGTACCATATGTCAATCATAATTGCCAACAGATTGTTCTGTGGAAGTGCTTAACAACTTCTTGGTTAACAAGGCTTAACAACTTCTGTGGGTGTCCGAACGTAGGCTTAACAACTTCTGAGGGGTGTGACATCCACGCCAGTGAAGTAGCCACGGCGTCCGTCCGCAGGCCACGAAGAGGAAGTAGTCCTGACACGTCATAGGGCGGGAAGCATGGGTAGTGGGTATGTGGCGAAGAGGTCCGTGTGGATTATTTTGGTTGTAGAAGCTTGCACTGCCCCCGCCACGACGTGTGGTATTGCTTGCGTCGCATGAAAAACCTGGCACAGGTGAGAACACGAGCGTTCGGGTAATAGTTTTTTTTTTTTTTTTTTTTTTTTTTTTTTTTTTTTTTTTTTTTTTTTTTTTTTTTTTTTTTTTTTTTTTTTAAAAAAAAACAAAAAAAAATATATTATTTTTTCTCTCTCTCTCTCTCTCTTTCTCTTTCTCTCTTCTTTTGTCTTTCAAACATCCGAAAGGCAGTGATTTGGCCATCTTTGGATCCTGGGGGCTGCTTTCGGGCGTTGGGGCAAGCACAATCGACCGATCGGGAAGAACATCTTGGGGGCTGGGTCGAGCGGTCTGACAGTCCATGTCTCGAGCAACTCGGCACGCGGATGGCAGGGTCCACTTCATCCAGTCGGTGTGGTTCGATATTGATTCCGGCTGGCCGATTCGACTCCGACATTCGACTTGACTCGATCTCGATATCGATATCGATATCGATATCCGATTCGATTCCGACATTCGACTCGATCTCGATATCGATGTTGATCCGATTCGACTCCGACATTCCGACAACATGATGCGCCCTTGTGCCCGCATGGCGCTGTTGTGAATCCAAGCGCGGCCGATGTGATGCGATTCTGATGCTGTGCCAGTGGAGCCCGATTCGATGCACGTTGCGATGCGGTCCCGTGTTCACATCAGATGCGGACTGCTCCCACCCCGGGCGCCGAGAGGATGAGCATCAGTGGTGCGGGCGGACAGTACGAGGTCGATGGTGAGAGCAAGCCCCTCTCGGAGATCGCCGTTTGCGTCTCAGTGACCGCCGCGTCCGTCCGTTGCCGAAACGAGCTGCTACTTCTTCTCTTTCTCCGTCTCCTTCTGTTCTTCCTCTTGCTCCTGCTCCTCAGTTCTTGATGGTACGTCTCCTTCTGCTGATCATGTTTTTTGGGGGGGTCTTTGCTGCTTGTTTTGTAGCCAGTGACATGTATTGAGCGGGTAGATTGGCCAATGAAGATGAGCTTGGAGTGGTGTAGTGGTTCTGACAAGGCGATGCTGCTCATTTGGTAAGGACGGCAATGTGGATAAGGAGGCTGGCAATGATGATTGTAATAATTTGAAGGTGGACGACGACGAGATGGAGCATGAGGATGATGAGGAGCAGAAGGGCAGGGGGATCAGGAGGAACATCAGCAGGATTGCGGTGCGGATGCGGACGGGTAGTTTGGGGGTGAGGATGATTGGAGGGGAGGGCGACGAGGGTTTTGTCCGGCCTGGCGATTGGCTAATCCAATGGGGCCGACGCGCAAAGAAGGACGCCACGAGGAGGGGGAGGAGGAGGTGCACGTGGAGGCTCGGCAGGGGGACGAGGTCTGGGGGTGGGGTGGGGAGGGGGGCCCGGGTCCAAAAACGCGGGCACGCATGCTCGTGCGTACGATCGTGCCCCTTCCCCCCCCCTCCCCCGCCCCTCCCACAGGGGGACCCCCGCCCACACCCGCCTCGCCCGCGCCAGAGTGGAACAGCCTCCCCGCCTCTGCCCCCGCGCGGCCCCCCACCCGTGAGATCCGAAGTGGTGAAAAAATGCAGCATCGCAAAATAGGCCGCCCGGAGCCCCGACCCCATCTTTCTGCGTCATTTGTTCGAGCCGGGACCCGGGGCCCGAACTTGAGCGAAAACGCCCAGCTCGAAGAAACCGCACCGCCAGGCCCGGAGGCGGGCGAGCTCAACCTCGCCCCCCATGGTTCGTCTGGCTCCCTGCTACACGCTCCGACCAGAGGGCGCTCGCGCCTGAGTTTAGTCGGATGCGGCGCTCGCTCTGGAGAGGAGTGAGGAGGGTGCGGATGCGGAGAGATGGAGTTCGAGGACACTGGAAATATCAGAAGGAGCTGGAGGAGGAGGATGAGGACGAGGAGTAGCAGGAGGAGTGCCAGAGGAAATCCAGGATGTATCAACGATGCTGCTCTTCGCCCACCCGTCCCAAGACCCGTCCACATAGTCCCTGCAAGCTTTCGTTTTCACCACAAGTGGCGCCCCGTTGAAAGACCAGCACATGTGGACCTGCCATTCAGACGGGAACCCCTTTTTGAACAGGAACTGCCGTGCATCCGTCTAGCGAGTACAGTGGAGACCCATGCCAAGAAACACCCTGCTCGCCTCCAGGGTGCTCTGGGTTTCTTGGGTTTCGATGGTTTTGCGATGGGCAGCGTGACGTTCCCACACCAAATATCGATGGACGTCCTGGGGTCTCAGGGTTGGGTTTCTTATGGAAGGTCTCTTGTGGACTGGCCTCCGCTGTAGCAATGACAGCGAACATGTACGGTACTGCAGTTCATCGAGGTGTCTAGCGAAACCCCCGTTTTGTGAAAGGACCGCCCCCATCTGCAGCTATCGCACAACGTACACTTGTCGTCATACACGCCGAGGAATTATCACGCGATGGCCCCATGCTGAAAAAGGAACCGCCGTCCATGCTCGCAGCTGTCGCACGCACTCAGGTTTCTGGTCTCTCAGCGAGAGAAGGCTCTAAAGAATTCTTCGGGCAGTCTCTAGCGAGAGACGTCCTAAGGAGGGCTGTTGCACGCAACTGCTGCACGCTCTGAGGAAGTCTTGAGCGAGAGCCCCATTTTGAAAAGGGAGCCGTCCTCCATCCTGGTAGCTGTGGCAAGCTGTGAAAACAAATGTGCGCGTCGCTATTGTGAGGGCTCCATTTTGAACATGCGCCGCGACGAGTGCGCGCGGCGCTAGGGCGAGAGCCCCGTTTCGGAAACGGCCCTCCTCCATCCTTATCATGCCTCCGCCGCAAGGACCCAGGGAACCGTGGCCAGGGTGCAACTCTCTGCCTTACCTGTCTCGCTCCGTTTGGGACGTTCCTGCGCGCAATGTGCAGTTCAGCGTGTTTGGTGTTAGATTCTCTCAGCTCGGAGGGTCTTGTGACTGCATTTTGGATGCGTAGTATTGCGGGGGTTTTCCCCATCGTCCGCACCGCAGCAGGGACTTTACTTCATCACGCGCTGAGTATTCTCCCCTCGGAAGTCGTTGGGTGAAGCTTCATGCTATAAGTGGTCGGTTGGACCACATGGGGAACCATGCATCCCTGGTTACACATTGTTTCACTCTTCCTCAATTTAGCATCTCCGCTTTCAGCCTTCCGCCGCACAATGAGCACTTCTAGAAGCCATCTTCCGCAGCATACGAATCGGGATGGCAGTTTCCAAGGTGACCGCCCGGCGGCGTCGTCACGGAACACCGGCTATAACATCTCCGTCACGCTTCTCGGGTGACTTCGTATCGAGCAGGACTCCAGTCTTGTACCCCGCGCTGGCCAGGGAGGCGCGTGCATCGGCATGGCCACTGTCGCGCCTGTTCCTTTGGCCTCCTCCTCCCCCTCTCCAAACGTTGCGCACACCATAAAACGAATGCGGAGCAAGTCTCAGGCGAAGCGCCTGGCCCGCCCTGCCGACACGCCTGGGGTTTGCGGTGGGGAGCATCGATTTCGGAGGAGGGGAGGCAGATCTTGAGATGGGGGGGGAGAGGGGTGGAGAGGCAAGGAGCGATGGCAGAGGGCAGTGGATGGTGTGGGGGGAGCAGAAAGTAGGGGAGGAGGAGTTGGAGGGCTGAGAAGGCGGAAGAGTATGAGGATGATGCTGCTGCTGTTGATGATGATGATGACGATGATGATGACGATGCCGAGGTAGTGATGATGGTGGTGAGGCTACTGGTTTTGACGGCGATGAAGATGATTGTGGTGATGATGATGATGATGATGATGAAAATGATGATGATGATGATGATGATGATGATGATGATGATGATGATGATGATGATGATGATGATGGTGATGGTGATGTGGACCGCTACTACGACAATCACGCCGACGGTACCAACGACGATGCTGATGATGATGATGATGATGATGATGATGATGATGATGATGATCATGCTGATGAATAACATGCTCCTGTGATGATTCCGATGATGACGATGCTGGAGAAATTGCTGATGGCGATGATGGTGATGCTGATGGTGATCATGGTCATGATCACGATGGTGCTGCTGTTGATGATGACGATGGTTGTGAGGGTGATGGTGGTGGTGAAGGTGCTGGTGAGGGTGATCGTGATGGTGATGCTGCTGCTGATGATGATGGTGGTGGTATTGACGATGCTGACGATGGCAATGATGCTGATACGGATGATGATGCTGATGCTGTTGTTGATGATGGTGACGATGATGAAGCCGATGCTGATCACGGCGATGTTGATGTCGCTGATGAATGACGATGACTGTGCTGATGCTGCTGATAGTGTTGATGCTGCTGATGATGATTATTCTGCTGAGATGATGCTGATTCTGGCGATGAGTATGATGCGGATGGTGCTGGTGATGATGATGCCAATGATGATGGGCGGAGGTGACCATTATGCTGATGATGACGACGATACTGATACTGATGAATTTGATAATGTTGGTGTTAATGATGATGAACAGGACGAGGTCATTTATGCTGGTCATGAAAATGACCATGATACAGACGACGATTATGATGATATTGATGCTGGTGATGGTGATGACGATGATGATGACATTGATGATCATGATGATGAGGATGATGCTGCTGATGATGCTGATGATGACGATGATGAGGAGGATGCGGGGGAGACGGAGATGCAGGAGAAGGAGGGACCGGAGGACGATGCGGAGGAGGAGGAGGACCAGAAGAGAGAGAGAGAGAGGGAGAGGAGAGAGAGAGAGAGAGAGAGAGAGAGAGAGAGAGAGAGAGAGAGAGAGAGAGAGAGAGAGAGAGAGAGAGAGAGAGAGAGAGAGAGAGAGAGAGAGAGAGAGAGAGAGAGAGAGAAAGAGAGAGAAAGAGAGAGAGATAGAGCGAGAGAGAGAGAGAGAGAGTGAGAAAGAGAGAGAGAGAGAGAGAAAGAGACAGAGAGAGCGGGAGATAGAGGGGAGGTAGGACGAGCAAGAGGAGGAGTAGGAGGAGGGGAAGGAGGAGGAGGAGCAGCAGCAGGAGCAGGAGTAGGAGGAGCAGGACCAGGAGCAGGATGATGATGCTGATGAGGCTGATGATGATGTTGCTGATGCTGCTGATGCTGATGAGGATGATGATGATGCTGATGCTGATGACAATGGTGATGCTGATTTTGAGTATGCCAACGATGGTCAGAGTGAGGGGGCCGAACGGTCATTCACTGTCCCTGGGTGCGTAGCCGAAATTGAATTCCGCGGTGCGGATTCTCGCTGTTGTTGTTTGTTGTTGTTTGTTGTTGTTTGTTGTCGTCGTTCCACCCGCAACCCGCCCCGCGACCCACCCGCGACCCACCCCGCGACCCACCCCGCGACCCACCCGCGACCCACCAGCGACCCACCCGCGACCCACCCCGCGAGCCACCCCGCGACCCACCCCGCGACCCACCCCGCGACCCACCCCGCGACCCAACC